CGCTCCGTCAAGGCCAATCACCGACACATCCCTTGCAACGCAGCCGCGCCAGTTCGCCATCAATCAAATGATAATGCAATGTTTTATCATTTACATCCTGTTATCCTCGCCAAAAATAGCAGATTGGAGAGGAGGGATGGAGCATAAAGGAGAAACGCGAAATAAAACACAGTTTGGAAGGGATCTCCCCTTCGCAGAACAAGGCAAGAAATCGTTGAGGCTGTCGCAAATAGGGTATGCTGTAAAAGAATCTTCTAAATCACGCTCCGCTAAAATGCAGTAATTAAGAAAACAAGCAAACAATTTTGCATGCTTTGAAAGTATCAAAATACGCAAGCTTAAGTGCGATATCGGAATGAATGAGACCTCTGCCGCTGACCGGATTTTGCTTTTAAGAGAATTGCTGTGTTTTTGCAGTTCTCCTGGCTCCTGTCTTGAAGATTTCCGGGCTACGCCATTCATCGAATGCAACGGTGCTCGTGGTAGTTGCCATTACTTTGCAAACAAATTTAGCTTCTGGCTTACAACAATCGAAGACGATCAGCAGTTCAAGGTATGCGCTTTTATTTACCGCAGACTAGGATGGTTTTGCAGGCAGAGGGGAAGCTTAAAAGTTTATTGCTAAAATCACACACGGAATTTCCTGTGGAAAGATACGCATGGAATTTTCTGTCTGATAAATATTTTTAAACTTGCGGTTTTAAATTATTGAAAACATTGGTCGTCATTTTCACTTATTAGTTTCTTAATTATCACAGATTTGACTATTCCAGTTTTTACTTTCCGATTATTTTTACGGTCGTTCCATTCCACTTACCGACCTCATTTTCTTTAGCGTTCATGTATCCTGCTCTGATTTTTTCAAAAAAATTGACTCTTGCAGTTTCTTCATTTTTCTCACATCCGTAACATGTTTGTTGCAGATCCCAGAGAGTGAGACACTGAAATCGGGAAGTTTACGAACACGGGTCTCCCGGTGTCAGGTGTGCATCAAAGCTCCAGAGCCGAGCCAGTACCGCGGATAAGCATCCAGAATATCCAGTCACTGAGAAAACACTGCTATATAAGATGCTGCCGATAATTCTTTCTTTCTTTCCTTTTTTTGCTGTATATGTAAAACTAACATAATCATTTTCTTCACATTTGTACTGCCATGAACTGATAAGTTGATTTGTAATTAAGTTATAGTTTTGACTTGTTGTGGGTCTGAAGGAAAAGTTTTGCAGGGATTTCTACGATCATTTCGATTATAGTGCTGCGCTAGATTGAGAAGTTTCCGGATTGCCGGATGGATGATGAATACACCCGGTTCACTTTACTGGCTAGGCCTGAATAATGCAAGGAGGGAGGCGCAGTGCATCAGTTCGCATCTGTTAGCTGTTGGCAATAAATACGGTGACTACTGCCCTTGGTGCTCCATTTCTGCCTTATTGCGTGTATGTCCGTGTGTGTTATCCAATTGGTAAAAATCCTTTGAACGCTTTTTTTTTTCGACATGCCAACACGGTGCTATCATAACAAAAGTAATAATAATAAATACTATCACGTTGTTTTTATCACGTTGACATATTAAAAAAAGCCCACGTTAATAAAATACCGAGAATACCAAGGCCGGTAAGGTATTAGCTTGGGTATTCCATGTTAGTGATATCACTGTGGTATCCTACACATTGAGAGCAGCTGTGTCAGGCCTATCGAGCGAGCGAGTGCTGCATAGTTCCACGTTACTTGTTTGAGGTACATGCGTCGGTACTTTGGGGGTGTCTAATTCCTTCTCTGAGTAC